AGAATTTCTTTCCGCATGCACTTATAATTTAATACAATTCTTTCCTTCTACTAAATATTATTACTATAATGCCAGGAATTATGTTGGATTTCAGGCTCATATCCCAACTGTACAATTCAGGATATGCTTCAGACCTGTTTATTCAAATAATTTTATTCAGACTGTGGCTAAAATAAACAGAGAAGCAATTTGAAGAAACTCGACGCAGGTTTTTCTGTAAGTCTAGTAGACATAATGATTAATATTTCCAGGAAGGCTGATGATTAGACAAAATAATGGTATAGAGAAGAGCTTTCAGAAAAAAGAAGAAAAAAAGATGGAAAAGAGCTCTTACTGAAAATTACTGGTAACCTAAACCACCTGCAAAAATACAGTATTTGCAATAGAAGCCCTTAAAGCTGAAACAGAAGTGAAAATAATACAATTATTAAATTAAGGATAATTGAGAGATAAAATAATGTGATTGATAAGTGGCAATAGTGTGCTCGCTGTTTTTCCTGTCTGATTGCAAACAGAACATGATATTAATTAAGGTTTCATTCAAATGGATGCGATGAAAGACAAAAAACTAGCAGGAAAAATATATCATGGCTTTACACAGTTATCGTTATGAGATGTAGCTCTTTGTCAGCTACCAATTCATCAGCACTGAGAGTGCTTGCCTTCCGCACCTAACAATATCCTCATGCTAGCAGTGCTCTTTTCTCTTGAAGTCTCATTTATCTTCCTACACAGGTCATTAAAGTTTGAACCTGCTTGCTTGAAGCTGTGTCTGTGGTTGCCACTTTCTCTGTATCCACCCCCACAGTGTTCTTGTGCTCCTGAGATCTCTATTTCAACAACAACAGCAGCAACAGTACTGGAGTTTTCGCTGATAGAAAACTGAGGAAAGATTTTGGTTTAGTTTCATCTGGGTGTCTAATTTTACCAAGTTGCAATAGTTTCCCCTGTGCTACAAGATCTCACTTCTTGTGGGACTTGATAAGTCTTAGAGTGTCTACTCTCAGCTGCATAACACATAGTACATGTAGACTGCCATTATTTGATATTTTCCCTTGCTTTGCTAGCTCACTGGTTTTCTATGTGCCATGACAGAAAACCCTAATTCATCATTGTACTTGTGCCTTCCCACTTGAGGAAAAAAGTTTACTATGTAGATTGCTGTAGAAGTGGTGGGAAACCAAAAAAAAAACCACCTTTGAATGCCTATGTGAAAACTACATTAGCTGTTAAAAAGAGAATATAAGTAACTGCATGGGAAACTGGATATCAGAAATGTCCATACGATCCTAAGCCTTCGGCTTTCTCATTACAGTTGGTGTCAGTGGGAAGGTGTGTCAGTTATTATAGAATCACAGAGTAATTTAGGTTGTAAGGGACTTCTGAAAGTCATCTAGTTTAATGTCCAACCCCTGCCCCAAGCAGGGCTGACTAAATCAGGTTGCTCAGGGCTCTGTCCTGGCAACTTTTGAGTATCTTCAGGTTGGAAATTCTACAACCTGTCTGGGCCTCTATGCCAGTGTTTGACCACCTTCCTCCTGAAGAAGTTTGTCCTGATTTCTGATCAAAATGTGCTGTGTTGCCTCTTGTCCTGTCGGTGGGGCACCTCAGGGAGCATCTGCATCAGCCTTTTCTACAGCCTCCCATTAAGTAGTGGAAGTCAGCAATAAAATGTTGCCTTGGTAGGCAACTGGTATGAGTCTTTAGGGATCAGTACTGCAATATATTCTAGCAAAAAATAATCGTATAGATTATAGGAGATCAGCTAGTACAGAAAGTGCTAGCCCAATTTTTGCCTGGAATAGAATAATGATATGTGTGCTACATTGATATACTGGCTCCTGGATGACACACAAACTAAATTCCTTGACTTAAAAGCAGACAGCATTTAATTTTAATGTAATTTTAAATGATTATTATTTTTAATCAAAATGCAACTGGATTCCTTGTAAAACTTGAGGTATTTGACTTTTTTTCTAGTCCTTCTGTGGTTTGATACCACCCAGCATGTATTTTGATTCCATGCTTTTTTCTACTATTGTGCTACTCCAATTATTTGGCACATGATTGTTCCAAGTGATTGGCTACGTACATTCCACCTCTGGTTCACATATACAGTATATATGAGATCCAGTTATTCTGGCAGCTGCTGGGACCGCATTTGGCTTCTGGGTAACATCACCTCTTCCTGCACCCAAATTGGATGGAGTGAAACCAACATTTCCTCAGTTCCTTCATGCTATCATAGCTCATTTTGACTTCTCTGTGTGCAGTATGACTTTTGATACCAATACATGAATAACAGGGTGGACAGTAAGGTTATTCTAGCTGGTGTATTTTGTATGGTAGAGCATAATCCTTACAGGTTTTTATTGTGCTGCTTAGTTAGGTAAAATGAAAATAAATCTTATTAATGGTAGAAACAGGTTTGTTTCTCACTCTGGCTCAGAACTGTGGAGATGCTGAAGGAAAGCAGCTGGTGTAGACAGACACTCCAGTAGGTCAAGAAATTGAGGGAGAACATCTGTAAGAGATAGAATATTTGACATCAACAAGGCAGACATAGCAGTGTCATCTTCTCTTCTTAGCCAAATGACTTAAGAATAATTCAAGTACTTTACTATATGTTGTACACTTTAGAAAATTATGTAGGAGTAATCCAGAGGAATCTGAACAGGCAACTGAGTGTTCTGCTCTCCTCCACATGAGTGCTTATTAAGTACAGGTAACTGGAACAGGCAAAAATGCATAGCAAAATCTAGCTTCTACCATACCTTTAAATGTGGTAAAGAGGAGCTCAGGTGTGCCTTATTATAGCTCTAAAAATATTACATACTCAAAGCATTCCAAGATTTCTTGGCTTTGTGAGACCACAGTTGGCACACATCATATAGAGTCAGGCTTTATTTCCTCCTGCCTTCATTTGATATCCTTTGTTCATGAACCCAGCTAGGAATGCTCGTCTTTACTGGAACCACAGTACAATTTTGTTTTGGTAAAAGAACTTTTACTCTAGCAATTTGCTTTTTATACTATATATTCATTGAAATTTGCTTTTTAGTAGGTAAAAAGATCACTTCAAGAGCTGGGGAGATTCCTAGTTTCTGCTGTGATTCTAATGATGATGTTAGCCCATGCCCAATTCTGTTTTCCAAAAAAGAAGTCACAGATTTTTATTTTGATCAGGACATCTACTTCCCATTTCTTACCACACCCGTGGAACTTACTCACCATAACTACTTGGGGAAACCAAACAGCACAAATTTTAATTTTTTTTTTAAATTGGTTTGATAGAACAAGACTTCTTGAGAGCTTCTCCAGATTGCTGATACAAGTCAAGTCAATGCAATACTGATAAAGTGCAGCTTGGTTATGTCTATCCTAGATAAAAGAGATGACTTATAAGGCTGGGGCTATAAGGGCTCAAACTTTGGGAAGCAGCTGTCTCTCAAATGTTTTCAGGGTAACTGTATGAGAACTAATCCTCTTTTTTTTTTGGCTAGCCCTGTACCTTATCAGGTGCTGCAGGCTTTTGAAAAGTTTTTTAGCAGCCAGTTTTCCATTGTGAGGCCACTATTTGCTCATCACCAGAGCTAGCATCCATGGAAAATGACAGTAGAAGCATTTATTAACCTTGAATAAATCTGTTTCTTCAAAACGTATCTCTCTAACTGTTGCTATGAGCCATGCTTCTTCCCCACTGCTACAGAGTCTATCTGGAGTCTGAACTGTCAAAGGAATTTAAGACTGGTTGAGCCTGCTCTTCCCCGTATACCTCCATGTGTGGGAGTCAGGAGAGGGTGAGATCATTCCGTGCACAGCAGAGCCCCAACAAAGACTCTTGGCTTACAGGGTCTGAACTCACATTTGTGGGTCTAACACACACAGCAGAGTGAAACTGCCAGAAACAGCTCCTTCTCAGCTGTGCTTTTGCTAAGTAATTCTTCTTTTGCTATCTCTAAGGTAACCGGAATCTTTGTGCTTTTTATCTTTCAGCACATCAAATGTATCAGATAATAGTTAAGTTAGAACAATAGGAGATGAGATGCTGTGTCAGCATGTGGGCTGCTAATGGAACAAAAGAGTCTTCTTAAATTCAGTATGTTCTGAAAATACAAAGTTAGTGGCAATGCTCAGCCATGCAGCAACAGGCCATAAAAGGAAAATGAGGTACTCTTAACACCGCGGTTCTTTTGTCTTTCTATATCAACATTCCCTTGTTTCTTAAATAGCCGTAACATATTACAATGCTAGAACAGTATTTTTTTCTTCATTCTGAACTCAGTAAGTACCTTCACTGTTTCTTCCAGACTGTTCTTCTGCAAAATGGGCTATGAAACCACTAGTTGTGTTTGTTAAGTCTCGCTCTGCTCTTTATGGCTGTGGTGCACATGCTGTCCAGCAGCTAGAGCGAGATTTGGGCAATGCTGAAGTCAAAAGAACCAAAATTTGTTCAGTGTGCTGAGATTGTTGCTTAATCACCATTCAGGTGGTGTTTACCTATGCCCCCTTTATCTGATATTTACCACACTGTCTCATAAGAATTTTTCACAGGGACCTTTTAATGTGGTAATGCAACCAAGGCAAACAGCAGTAATAACAATATGTGATGTGTTCTTACTACCTGAAGACTAAATTTAGATGAAAGAAATGGAAGGCTGTTTTGTAGAAAATATCAATCCAGAGCAACTATTTGCCTGTTCATGTTTGCATGATTTGGAAATGTTGTTACTTAAAAAGAGATTGTGTTGAGAATGTACGAGAGGATGACAAATTAAAACATGATTAGTAGACTTACATCTACATATACTTATTCTGTTTGAGAATCTGGCCAAAATTACATCTGAATTCCTGTATCTGACACATGACATACATATGCTACAATACAACATTTGAGATTTCAGTCCTCTCTTCCAATGAAAGCTATGGATCCTCATTTGCCCGGTAATGCAGAAGCAATTGTATTTATGCTCCACCGTATCCCTCAGCTGCTCTGCAAGGATCAGTATGTGCCATATCTCCTGTTGCCCATCTGGTTGCTTTCTGCTATTGCTTATAGTAAGGAAATTCTTACCCTCAGGAATACCACAGGGAAAATCAGCTTCAAGAGAGATTGGTTTTTGTTTTGTTTTGTTTTGTTTTTAATAACAGAAGGAACATGCCTGTAATGTACTGGTATTTTTTGTTAGGTCCTAATTTATCAAAGCTAAATCAGTACACTTCATAGGGAAAAAAATTATGATTGGAAAGGACTAATTCAACCTCCTGCTCAAATCAAGACTATATTCTGATTTAGGTCAGGGTTTTTTCTGTCTTATTCAGTCAAGTTTTGAAGACTTCCAATGATGGAGACTCCATAACCTCTCTGGTTATTGTTTCAGTCAAGAATTTTTTCTTTATATCCCATTCAGTATTTCCCTGTTGCAATTTGTGCATGTTACCTCTTGTCCTTTCACTGTGCACCTGTGGCAAGGGTCTGGTTCTCTCTTCTTTACAATCCCCCAACAGGTAGTTGAAGACAACAATTAGCTCAACCTTCAGCCATCTCTTTTGTCCACAGATATTACTTGCTCAGGCACAGTAAGTTCCAGTCTTGTGATGCTGTATCAGCCTAAAATGTCACTCAGCATCGCAGTTCCCCACAATTCAGGTCAGCAGAACTTCAGGATTTTTTGCTTCACGTCATGGAAATATTGCACGATTAAGATAGTACAGTGAAGCTTTAAAACATTTATTTCCATTTTGAAACACTTCTGCACTGCCCAAATAAATGACTGAGAATGTGACTCAGGCCCTATTGTTTATTAGAGTGTGGCTAGATCTTTGCATGAAAGGTAGAGCACAGTATAATTAGTGTTATTATCTGTGAAAATAATAATGTTTACTAAATTGGTGCCTAATACACCTGGACAATAATTTATGCTTACTTTCTCTCACACAAAATACTCATCTTCATATTTACACTCCATGGGTAGTGGTAGTGTCGATAAACATCCCAATGAATTAAACTCTGGAGGGGAAGGATTGGACACAATTAGAGCATTAACATTAGATTGTAATTGCTGTCATAGTTACACGTTGGTTTATTTAAATACAGCCACCAAATTATAATGGCCTCTAATGCATGGGAATGAATTGCTCTCTTGTTATGTTCAGTGAATACTTAGCTATATCCTTTATGTAAACATCCTACTCACAGTAATCCAGTAAGGACATAAGGTAGAGTCTGTTTATTTTAAGAGGTAAACCACTCAGGATTATACAGGAATTAGGATGTGCATGCAGATATGGAGGTTTCCGATGTGAAGAAACTACAGGTTGTCCGTTTCACTTTGCTTTTACTCCACAGTAAAATGTAAAGTATGGTCACCTAATTATAGAAGTCTATATTCCTGATTTACAGAAACATTTGAGTTAAATGCTGTTGTCTTCAGTAGGAGATGAGTGTGTGCTAAGTTTTAAGACTAGAAAAATTCATATACTTCTTCATAGTAAGCAAGTGCCTTATTATTTGAACACTAATTAAACTAGATAAACCAATGGTTTCAGTTTCTCATAACCTGTAATAGTTTAGACTGAAAGTTTACATGCTGAGCATCCTGCTTCATTCTATTTGGAATTTTTTGGCCAACACAAACACTTCTGGATGTGAATCTGTTGCATGAAGCCTGGACTACCACTACCACTGGGTCTGAATTCCAGAGAGGAAGCCTTGCTCTCCTCCCACTACTGGAGGATCTAGCAGCCCATTTCATATTGGAACTGCAGCAGTCCCAAGCAACCTTTGATTACACAGTTTTTGTTTGTTATTTCTAAGGAACTTCTGTTTCCTTTGGTGCACAGGATGAGGCTAGGTAAAGAAGCAAGGTAAGATCAGGGGTGCTTGTTGTGTGTAACACCCCTACTGCAGAATCTAGTGCCTGTGTGATGAGGGAGGCAGGGGACAAAATGGTTAAGGTACTTGGTTCATCTCCTGGATATCTAAACTATTCTTTTGCTGTGTGCTAGGTGATCACTGAGAGTTCATAATTTTTTTGGCTACCTAGCTACCTTCCCTGTGGATCCACAGGCATATTTCTGCACTTTGCAGAGCGTGGGGTTGTGGTTTGAAATCATGTATCTCATCATGCTAAGTATTCTCAAAGATTAAGGCTTGTTGAGTCAAATCTAATGCCTATTATTTGAGGGTACTTTTGTTTTCTTTCTTCCTGTGTCTACATAAATTAGGAATCATAACGGCTTTTCTTCCACTGAATCATGTTTCTGACTCAGATTTTTGCCATAGGAAAGATGAAAAGCCGTTTAATAATTCTTTCTTCCCGACCAGCATTTGAAGGCTATGTAGTCATTAGGGCAAATACTGAAAAAGCTCAAAAAGAAACATAAATTTGATGTTCCATCCGTTCTGCACACTGAACAAAGTAAGGATAACATACAAAAAATATACATATTAATCTAAGTCATGACAGCTAATGAGTACCTACAATTAAAATACTGCAATCCAATTTAATGTTGATATCTCTTCTGCAGAATGAAATGGGATTTGATTAACTTACTTAATTTAGGTTCTTAAATTTAGGCAGACTTGATCTCTTTGTGGAGATCCTTAGGGGCACCTTGCGACTTCCACTGACCTACATAACACTTATTTTAGGCAAACTGCTTCATGATATAACTAAAACTCAGGCCCAGATCAGATATCTAAGTTAGGTGTAGTGCATACCATCCCTTATTTTAGTATTATTCTGAAACAGCGTTCTCAAATAGCATGGGAGACAGTAGGACATGAACCAACACCAAATCCCACTTCCCAAAACCCACACTCAACTCACATGAGTTAGACTAGGGGAGAATAGAAACCTCCCACTGCTTATATTTTCCCTA